GTGGGGCCCACTAATCCTGCCGCCCATCAAAAAGTAGCTTTATGGAAAAAGCAATGCACGAATCCCGATATGTGTATCAAAAAAAGTTACTATAAATAGTGAACTGATAATACTTGTACGGGATTCGATTTTTCTTCCCGAACCGAACTTCTTGATTATTAAACACGAAACAGCTCATAGAAGCTTTTCACCTCGGTTCACCTCGGACTGGGGCCATTGTTGAGTGTTTTATCCATACTTTACGTTCGAATCATTCATAATCATTAAATAAATACAACATTAGATCGTTGTTACGAATCACATAACAACAGCATAGAGAGAGAAAGAGAGAGAGAGAGAGAGAGAGAGGGAGAGAGAGAGAGAGAGAGAGAGAGTTATGGGACTTGCGCCGGGGTGGCCGATCAGTGGACGAGTATGTTATACCACGAATTTTATAAACCACTCGACCGCTCATCTCGAACTGGATAAAGTCTTTTTGATCGTCGGTACCTATAAAACACACCAGGGAGTGGTCCTAACGTGGACACTCCGACGCTCAAGTCAGTAGATTTTCGAGAAGATGTGATAGAGTATCTTAGTTACTCGTGTGTGTGTTCTTGTGCAAAAATAAAAGAACTTGCCCCTCTCTATAGACCCAAGATTCTCTGCATACTAGGGCTTTAGGTATGACAGAGTTCTCCTTTTGCCCATCTCCTCTATGGTATCTAGTCGTCACAGAGTTCTATCCAGACCCAACGTCTTTGAACAGACTCTGGAAATGCCATCTCTATAGGGGAGCGATACGTCACATCGGCTCCCCCGCCGATGGTAAGTCGGCCATCGTCATTCGAGCCTTACCTTAGTCATGCTAAGCAACTCCCAATCCCACTCATTGGCAGTATTGGCTTCCTGATAGCTGAAACATTTCGCATTATAATTATTTTATTCCACTAAAGGTTCTGGGTTAGCTCATCTTTATTCTCAACATGGTGTCTAACATTGCTTCCACTGAAGGTTCTGGGTTAGCTCGGCCGGCCGAGCTCACCTGTGATTGGTTCCTCGAGCTGCACTCAATTC